GAAAGTTTTTAAAGCTCCTCAGGTGACTCCACCATGAGGCCAGAGCATGAAGAGAAGGCAGGCCTGTGCCCAGTCTTGCAGAGAATAGCTGCAAAGGAGACAGATGAAGCACCACCCCAGAATGAGTGTAGGCCATTTCATTACACATCAAATGCTTATGTTGGTGCCCTGTTCTTTTGTAGTTCTACATGTCCTATCACCTGTTCATTGTGGCCTGTGCAGGAGCTGGTGCCACCGTCATTGCCCTGGTGAGTAATGGCCCCAAGACCACCCTAGTCTAGCCTCCTCCCTCTAGCCTCTAAATGACAGATTTCCCTTCCAGCTTTTACCAGCCTATTGAAGCCAATGATTCTGGCACTCAACCTTGGTTAACTGGCGCCTGTGTAACTTACCACATGTAGTTTCCAGGAAGTATTAGTTGGCTGCCTTGGCACCAATTGTAGGTGATGTAATTTGGACTCTGGAAAGAAAAGAGGGTATCAACACCTATCAGCTAGACCAAGCATATTACCTTGTTGCACTGAGCACTTAGCTTCATGACTTCAGTCACACACAAATGAAATGCTCACATGAGGCATTACCCATTTCTCTTTGCCAAGGATTAATTTACAAGTGGAAATATGCACATATATATACATTTATATAGTTACTCTCATACACAGTAGCTATGTTCCATAAAGTCACCTCAAGCACTGAATTAGCAAATGCTGGACCACTGCTCCTAGGGGAGAATACATGGCTAGGTTCCTGTGAGCCTCTGGTCACATCATTTTCATCAACCTATCAACACATAAGCTTGTTTTGTGTGTTTCTGTGTAAATACACCTTATTTAATATATATTGTTGATTAATATTGAATTCATGGCCAATAGCACTATCCTTATTCCTGAATGAAGCTTCTCTAATGAACATTTTCTCTGGTCAGGCAGTTTGCAATCTTCTTGCGCTTAGGGACTCTAGACAGCACTATGCTTGGGAGCCATTTTAAGCAGCAAAATCACCCACAAAAAAAAAGTTAAAAAATGTGGCACTAAATATATTTCGAGTATACTTATTTACAGTCTGAGAGCTGAAACAAGAAGGCAGCGTGTTGCCTTGTTCAACCTCAGTTAGGAATGTGCATACTGGGCAACTCAACTTTCACCGCTCTGCACGTGTCTGCTAATAACTGCAAAAGAAGTGCCTCAAGTATTAAGGGTTACAAATGAATCTTAGCAAGTAGGCAGTCACAAATATGGAATCTACAAGTAGTGAAAACCAACTGTATAAACACACGCTCTTATGTATGTATATGTTTGTACACATGTAATTTTGGAGGGCTTGGTTTGTGATTTGAGGAAAACCAACTAAGACTGGTAGAGCAAGGGGAAAATCTCAGCTGCTTGTAAATTAGTCATTCCCAGTTTTTCTGACCATTAAATCATTCCTTCCCCTTAGAATCTATGAAAAAAAAACACCTGTAAAATCATGGGGGTGACCTGTTCTTTTGGTTGAGCAACAGGTAGGAAAGATAACTGCCTGCTGCTGAGCAGATGGTTTTGGAAAGATGAGGGGATTAAGGCGTTTAGCTTCATCCTTCTCATGCTGTTGACCCAGCTCTCTGTCTTGTTATTCTTCAAACACATCCAAGTACTTTTAATAAACTTAGGGAAGAACCAATGACTTACATTGTACATATGTGATGAGAAAAAGTTTGTGTGTGCTAGATAGGAAAATTGTCTCTTGTGATTTTAAGTGGGGAAAAAAAAGAAACACCTTAGACTATGAGCAGGCACCCATCCCCACCCAAGTTTAGAAGTGTCATGGCATTGGCCCTCACTGCCTGTATCTTACTGTCCTGTTTTGTTCTCTTCCACCAGCTGATCTACATGATGGCTACTACATATAACTATGCGGTTTTGAAGTTTAAGAGTCGGGAAGATTGCTGCACTAAATTCTAAATTGCATAAGGAGTTTTAGAGAGCTATGCTCTGTAGCATGAAATATTACTGACACTCCAGACTAAAGCAGAGTCTAGGTTTCTGCAGTTTTGTTACAGTAATTTGTAAATAGCTTTAGTAAACTCATCTTGCATGGTAGATTAATAAGATGACTTACTGTACATGAATTACACAATAATGAGATCTGGCTATTTCCACATTTTGAAAAGGATTCAGTTATTTACTGACACTGGTGAGCATCCTCTTTAAAATAATGTTCTCATACTTAAACTTTAGAGAGCAATATCTTTAAATGAAGTATTAACACTTTGGAATAATAACATTTTCTGTTATTTTTGATTGCTTGATAACCAGTTTCAATGATGAAAATGAAAACAAGTGCTGAAGATGAAATGGATTTAATCTGGATTTTGTTTTGTCACACCTTCTGGAAAATACTTTGCAAATATGTTCTAAATTTAAAACAATTTTTTTATGATCACATGGTTCACTACTAAATGACCCTCAAATAAGCCAGATGAAAATTTGAAGAAAAAGGTCACCCAGTTCTCTGAAAAAAAGGATTTATATGTGGATATTTTCCCCCCCAACAACACAATCATTCCTTTAGAGCCCACAAAATTGGTAACCTTAAATTGTGTGTTTTGGTAAGTAATAACTGTTTCCTCATAGCTAGTTCTCAAGCTGCATGTAAGATTTTAACGGGAAGAGAAACTAGGCCTGGACCTGAAGGTCTCAAATATGTTGAGAAGGAAGTATGAACTATAAGGAACTTGAGATGTAGATTTATTTTGCAGGAAATACAAGGAAAATAGGAAAGAAGTGTTTGCCGCATCAAGTGTAAAGAATGATACTGAGGATTTTTGCATTTTATGAAATGAAATGGCATTTACAAAATGAAAAGTGTAGTTTCACAACTAAATTTTGTTAACAGAGAGACTGCATGCTTTGCTTATAGTTCTTAATTTTGGTTTTGACATTCACTTAATTTTTTCCATGTTAAATATGTAGTTTAATTATTTACTCAAAATAAACATTGTTCATGCTTTTAGGCCTTTGGGGGAATTGATTTATCTACAGGTAGAAAATGTCTTTGCACACACTACACTTATTTCAACTATACAATGTGCTCCCGAACTTCCGCATCAATCTTTAAAATTACTCAAAATGGTTAAAAAAAAAAAAACAAAAACACCCTCTTGTATTTCATTTTTGCTTTTTCTTAACAATACCTTTGGCCATTTTTTTCCAGTTCACTATGTTTGTGTACTAACTTTTCTTCAGCCTTTTAATGCGAAGCCAACTAGTAGAGCATGCTTTCAGGATTTGACAGCTCTGCTAGTAGAGCGAGTATTAATACAGAATAACCTTCGCCCCCTTTAAAGTCAAGTCCGTCTAATCTAACTAGCGCCTCGCTTTGCCTTCTCACATGCTCACTAGCCATCATGCTCACCCTTCTCTTCCAGATCCACTTCCTCATGATACTGTCTTCTAACTGGGCTTACTTAAAGGATGCGAGCAAAATGCAGGCTTACCAGGATATCAAAGCAAAGGAAGAACAGGAACTGCAAGATATCCAGTCTCGGTCAAAAGAACAACTCAATTCTTACACATAAATATTTGCCAGAGTGTTTCGACCGACGTATTTACAGCTCTGACAAATCATCAGACAGCTGCTCTGCAGTACAGATGTGTATCCCACCAAACTAATGTAGATGTACAAACACTTCACTGTCTGTCTCAAGCTGCTGGGATGTATCTCTAGGAAAACCTTCCAGTGGGTAAATCTTTTTCTTTAGAACAAATATTGGAGGTTTCATGTTAGCCATTTTAAAAGGCAACACTTTGGGAATCTGTGGTGGCATGTTCACATTTATTGCTAGGGCAATTCTACCAAGACACTAATGGAATATGTCACACCCCTTGATAGGGACCTGTGACATGCCAGCATCAAGGGGTAACACCATAAATTCATATATATGCCATCTGTCCTCAAATAAGTGTTATCTACATAGGAAATAAAATGGAATTGATGTAAAGTTCCATTTCTGACAGCTGACATTTATTAAGCTTTGGATCAAAGATAATGGGATTCTTATGACTGACTTTTCAAATTAGCTTTTCCCTCCCAAGTCCAGGACCCTTTAATTTCCTGAGTCAATCAGAAATATATTTTTCAATAATGCTAAAATTAGCTACAATTCTGCTGACCCTACTATTAAACAATCTGGATTCTGGACTCATTGACAAGCTTTCCAGAAGCAATTTTGTAACAGATTTCATTTTAACAAAATACTGATTCAATTTTCATTATTCTTGGGAAATGTCAGCTCTGCCTTAATGAGTATTTGCTTTAAATTTCTAAGAATTTATATCATAACTAGAGACCCAAATATCTTTCACAGAATTTTGTTCCATAAATGTTTTTAATTAAGAAGTGTTACCTTATTAAAATGACCACCATTCTAAACCATTTTTCAGTGGTCTGGATACTAAGTTTACAGTTTCATACCAACTATCTAAAACCTAATTGCAAACTGACCACAGACCTCTAACCTCCTGCTTTTACAGACTTGAATACTTAAGTAATTTAAATTAGGGTTGGTATTACATTTTTTCTTATCTAAATCTTAGTTTCCTGGAATAAAGTTTGATGTTCAGCAAGAAAACTGCTTGAGTTTAAGCCATTTTCAAAAGAAACTTGCCTTCTACATTATTGTGTTCCAGAACATTAAGTGACTGTAGGTACTGGGTATTAGTGATGGTAAACTTTGTGTTGTTCTTTATGAAATGATTCATATTAACTGTTGGGTGCATCAGTGCTTTTCAAAGGGGCTGCTTACTATAGGGTTAACTATGTATATTCATTGTTAAGAGTTAACTTGTGGTTTGGCTGTTTCCTGGATTTTATAACATATACATGTGCAGAAATGTATTCAAATGAAAGGAAGCATACCTTTATTAAGATGCTATTAAAATTGAACATCAAGTATAATATTTCATTTGGATTCTTTTTTTGGTTAATGCCTAAAAATGCCTATTTGGGATTTTTTTTTTTTTAATTAAGAGAAGCTCTCTTCTGTGTAGAACAGTTGTTCCAAAATAGCTTAGTGTTTTGTTTTCCTGTTGCATGACAGATTTAACTATTATTTCCAGCAGTGGAGGTGCTGTCAGAGTCCAGTGTTCTAGAAGAGGCAGTGTCTAAAGCCTAATTTTACTTTTCTAATTCTGGTAGCTATTACCAGGAATTTTTGGAAGTTTTGTTTAAGTAGTCTAATATTTTTTATGTAAAGAGCATTAAATTTTGCTATGTATAAATTTTTGTAACCTAACAGTGAATCAATATTTTCTATCAGTGCCAAGGGCTTCCTGTAGTTCTATTCAAGTGTTACAATAAATATTTGTAGATAATAGTCGATACTTGTGTATGCTTATTTTAAATATCTATTTAGGTGGAAATAGTTGTGGATGTACTAAGAGTAATGAAATAAAATTATAGCTTCATTCACTTGCCTTTTTACCATACATAAATCCTATCTTTGTCCTCAGTATGGTGTCACTTTTGAATAATGTGCATAGTCAAGATTTCACATTGGTATGGAAATCAAGTCTGTGAGTGCTACTTGGTTTATTTCTGGCAAAAATCTTTTCAGCAATTTAAGAAAATATTATATAATCCACTGGGCTGTATTGGGCATAAAAGTGCCACTAGCACTTCTGTAGTTCTCTGTGTAAAGTAAGAATTTTTCTGAGTAGTTTTTCAACAAATAAATGCCATCTACCTATAGGATCAACGAGGCTTAAACTTGGGCAAAGTAGAAACAAAATAAGAGCATGTGTGTAGTTATTTTTCAAACCAAAGGTACAAAAGTCTATTGATTTATTCTGGAATATAAAAAAACCTAGTTCTAACGGTTGACTCTCTAGAGTAGCAGAGCTAAATACGTTACTTAGGATTTTATTTTATAATCTGTTTAAACTCTTATCTGTCAACATGATTATGCATTTGGATTCTGTGCATCTGACCTTTCTTAGTGAGGCCCAGCCTGTGTCACTGTTGACACATGGCCATTCCTAAATGAGGTGCTGACTCTAGATCATCACCCTTTGTTCACGTATGGCAGGAGAACAATCAGGAGCTCAATTCGTGTGCTATTTGTCACCCTACTTAGTATCTTCTGTTTAAGTGGCATTTTGTGCAATTATTTAAGTCACATGAGTCACCAGAGGAAACTGTAAAATAATGGTTAGATAAAACCACAAGCAGCCTCTTAATTATCCACAGTGATCCTGCCACAAAACCTAGGACCCTTTAGAGGGTTGAGTAGAGATTTTTTTCCAGTTCTGACTTGTAAAACTTGACCTTTAAGAGATGAAAATGAAGTCAATTATAGGGAAGGAGCCCATTCATTTAAAAACAAACGAAATACTTGAAGCCCATTCATTAAGTGTGAGGACCAAAGATTCCATAATAAAGATGCTATCTCAGTCTGTTCCTGCCACTATAACAAAATAACTTAGACTGGGTGACTTATAAAGACCAGAAATGTGTTTCTTACCGTTTGAAGCTGGGAAGTCCAAGATCAAGGCACTGGCAGGTTGGATGTCTGGTGAAGGCCCGGTCTCTGCTTCCAAGATGGTGCCTTGTTGCTGTGTTCTCCAGAGGGGACCAATGCAGTGTCTTCAAATGGTGGAAGGGCAAAAGGGCCTCACTAGTTCCATTGAGCCCTTTTATAAGGTCACTAATCCCACTCTTAGTCACCTGTGAAAGGTGCCACCTCTTAATTCTATCACACTGAGGGGGTTTAAATTCCAACATATGAATTTTGGAGGGACACATACATTCAAACCACAGATGTCAAAAGTAAAGACCAGAGGCAATATCTTACTATTTCTAATGCCTAGAAAAATCTGTTTTTATGTTCAGGGACAAAACAGGAGTATGCTGAGAAAAATAACCTGTTTTACAGGTAGCAGCCCAACTTCGGAGAGAAAAGAACACAGCTTAAACTTCCAAAATGTAGGCCTGGAGTTGACCAATAAGATAGATATACTCATTTAAAAATTTAAGGTAAAAATGAGGTTAAAAGCCAGTTCCTTTTATTATAATGAATGAGAAATACTATGACTGGAGAAGAGGTTTCACGTGACTAGATTATTCTTGGTTCACACACTGTGGTATCAAAATTATGAAGAAAAAAAAAAAAAAACCCCACACTGGATTACACACATTTTTATTGAGTTTTGTCTGATGATAGAGAAACATTTACAAAGGAGTAAATGTTATGTAACTTCTCATGGTATGTAAGTTAGAAGCTGGGCAGCAAACATGGTTACCAAGAGTCATCTGGTTCTTCATGAGAAAAGCCTGTTAAACTAAATTAGGGAAAGACAAAAATTAAAATGTAAAAATTTGTGTCAAGTTTATTTGCTATCTTCATAATGTTCTCAATTCCTTCCCTGGGGGGTTTCTGCCCTAGCTTACAATTTATATCAGGATCAATTTCACAAGTTAAAAAACTCAATCGTTTTTATAGTCAGTAATTTTGACTGATTCAATAACTTCTTACAGGCAATCTCAAACATCTAACCGTTTCTCTTGGCTGACAAAATGAGCAATTAACAGTTTGTGTATGAAACAGTATGTAGGGAAAACAGGTACCTTTCAACTTTGTCACTAGATTGCAGCGTGTCCACTAGGGAGCCTTCTTGGACCATCTTTTTTGAGCTCTGATTACATGGAGGGGGTGGAAAATTTTGAAATTAGCTATGCATTAATTTTATGAAATACTTTTCTCTAAGAACCATTTTTGAAATATATATGTAATTTAAAAGTCTAAAAAAGAGGTGACTTTTAAACATGAAATTTAGCAAGCACATCAAAATAAACTATAGGGTATGCATTTAACACCCATATTACTACAGACTTACATAAAATATTAATGTCAGTACTAATGCATTTGTTATATGATAGATCTTTTCTTCCTTGTTCTTAATGAGCCACCCCAACTTTTAAAACCTCTTAAATCTTTTACCTTAAGCAAAAAAGCTATGAGTTTTTGTCAAAAGAGTAGAATATTTAAAAGACTCAAGGTTCCATTTGAACTTTGGATTTTCTATACTTTTCACCTTTTTGTCTTCAATGGAGAAGATGGATTCCCATCCCAAGAAGTTAAACCACGGAAGCCCTGGATGTCCCCCACCCACAGATTGCCCTGTCCATGGCACTGGCACCTTATCTGCTGACTGCTGGTCTTGCTCCTGCTGGATGATTTTCATGTATTTCTCTAAAGGGTTTTCACTGTGAGCAGATTTGTCTTTCATTTCTTGATTACTCATTTCTAATTCATTTTCCATTTCTAATTCATTTTCTATTTCAATCTTCAGTGATTCTTCAATCATCCTCTATAAAATAGGCACCAAAACAGAAAATACACAAATATATTTGTAAAACTTTATGTATTTTAAAAATGCACTAATATTAATCCCGATCCTTGAAGTACAGCCTGTGTGCCAGAGGACTAATTTTTAAAATTGAAGTCATTGCTATCATCAAAGGAAGACAAATATGTCATCTCAAGGAAGGTATTAATCGGCAAGTGTCCTGTGCTTTAGACTTGAATTAACCAGAAGTCCAAGGAACATTCATATGTTAGAGTAATTAAAGCAAGACTTAGCAGGCATGTTAAGTGGACAGAGTAATCCATCTGCTAGGACCAGAATCGGGACACAGAAGGCAAGAAGAGAACTAGAGGAAGGAGGAAGGGAATGTGTGCCCCTGGAAGCAACCATGGACTGGCAGCCATCTCCTCCCTTGGGTTCTAGTCCCAGCTAGCTGACACTGACAGCCTCTTCTTTAAACCCTGTTTTCAAAGCAAAGTTCTGCAGCAAAGCACAGTCTACCTTTTTTACAGGCTTGTTTTAAGGATCAGATGAGAATGTCCAAAAATTACCTTCAAAAACCATCCTTTACTACAAAACTCCTAAGCTGCACATTCTGTGCAGCCTTTCTCACCGCAAGACCAGGAGAGGACAGGGATGCCTTTTAAGGCACCTGCCGTTCCTCTGACTTTGTACACCAATTGACTCCCCTCCCTGAGCTCAATGTACTTACGAAAGGTGTACAACGGAGCAACCAGTACAGAAAATCAAGTCATACTTATTACCCTTTCCTGATACAGTTTTTCTAGTTCTCTTCGTTCCCTTTCTAAAACTTCTTGTAGATTACTCTGCCTTCTTTCTTCTCTCTGCCTTCGTTCTTTCACTTGCTGTTCCCGTATTTTTTCTTCTTCCTTTTGTTCTTCAATTTGTTTCTGATCTACACCTAATAGGACAGAAAATAAAGAGTAGCTTCCAGTATCAGACTGTTCAAATGAATGCAGGACCAGTCTGCAGAAGCCCTTGCCAAGACCCACGGAGACTCTGCTTGGCTTTTAGTTGACTCTGTGACCTGCTTCAAGTCACTGTTTCATTTTCACTCACTTCAAGCCCCCAACCCCACTCCTTGAACTGCACCCTACTTCACTTGGCTAAGACAAATAACAAGTCATCCTCACCATGACCAACTCCAATTGTCCTCCCTCCATGTCACATGCTCTCATCTTCTTCACAGATCTCCTCCCTCCTTTCCAAGGCAAACCCTGCATTTCTGCCTCTGCCTTTGATTGTAATCCCTCCCCTATCTTTAGGACCCTGACTGAGCCATTAATCCCTATTTCTGTACACAGTAGTTTTAGAAATCTTACTCCCATAAAGATGCTCAAGTCTGTCCTACCCCAACAAAACAGAACAGAAATCACACCACTGCCCTCCCCCCCGGCCATTCCAGCCATCTCACTGCTCATTCCCCACTTCCTCCAAACTGACGGCAGCCCTTCCTTGGGTTTTAGCGATCACTTGTATATGGATCCTTTCCATATCTTTTCCTCTACTCCTGATCTCTCTCCTTAGCCTCACGTCCACATTTCTGATAGTTCCCTGTCATCCGCATGTGGAAACCCCACAGCACCAGCTTTGTCCTGAGCGTGATCGTCCCAGTCCTTCGATCATGCTCTTTCTACCCTCCAACCACTCAGCCACCAGCGCTTGCAGGTTCACACTCCCTGTCCTGTGGCTGCAACAGGGGCCCTTCTCACCATCTTCCTGGACTACTGAAACAGCCCAGTCAAGGCTCTCCCTGAAGCCGGTCTCTGCCTTCCAACAACCTGTGGTCATCTGCACCAGTCATTTCCTGACAGGAAGATGTGGATCTGCTGTGTGTGCAGCATCTCCACTCTGATAGAGTCCAATGTCATGGTAGTCCAGGCTCTGACAATCTGCCCTTTTCTTTCCACCAACTTTGTACTAGAAATATTTCATCTGTACCAACCCACTCACTGGGGCCTGGCCATGGCTGTATCTTCCTTGCTCAGCATTCACCTTCACTGTCTCCTCAGTCTGTAGCACTCCCTTGCTCTCACAAAGTCTGAAATGCTGTTCAAGACCCAACTGAAATGCCACCTCCTCCTTATTCCTGAAGTGACAAGTAACCACTCCAGCATCTTACTTGCAGGATATCTTGTACCTGCTTTGTCAAAAACTACACATATTTGTTTCTTCCACTTCTATTCCTTCCAGGCAAGGCCCATATTTTAATTACTTGTCTGTTCTCTCTGCATCTTGGCACAGGTCCCTACATCTCAAAAGTTTAATTAGACCCCAATCCCAGAGACAATTATGCTGACCTTTCTCTTCTGGCTCTGACCCATAACCTACATTTTTTTTTTTTTTTAACCCAAGCAATGCTAATAAGCAGAAAAATTCATAGGTTCAGCAGAGGACTTCGAACCTTTTTGCTGTGCCTTGTTCTAAAGCGATCAGCAGGAACTGAGTTTTACCAATAGGAGAGAAGCAACACAGTTTCTTCTCTCTCTCCCCACATCTCTTCTGAATCCTTCTCATGAAATTAAAATACCAGAGGAGATAGTTGATCATTTCCACAGGCAGAAATGCAACTTCCTCCTTGCTAGAAGAAAAAATGGTTACTCCTAAACAAGATCGCTCTCTTATATGGAATAGTAATCTCAAAATAGGAATGTTGTTTAAGCACCAATTACAAAATAAAGAGGAAGAGTGAGCTGCTTCTCTGCTCTGGTGTATATTTGGTAGTTGCAGGGTAGTATACAGAAACCTCTTGGACACAAGGGGAAAGAAAGGAAGTATGTCCACGGGGCACCTCTGAGACACCAGATTTCAGACTTTTTGAATTCCCTTTGTGCCCAGATGAAGAGGTGAAATGACAAATATAACAATTTCTCAATAACCAAAATGTCACTCACCATGCTGCTTAATAATTTTTAAAGCCAATATTATAATCTATGTTGCATCTCAGTGGCAGAACACCTAGTTACTCAGCTGATTTCCCTTATCCTATCACATTATTTGTATTCCCTCGCTCAGGTCTGTGCCAAATGGGTGCCTGTAGACACTCCCTCTTGTGGCCGCGGCCCCTACTCCCTCCCTCCCTGCTGCGGTCCTGGGTGATGGCCTGCTGACTATCTGCCTCCCCTACTAGAAATCCAGGAAGGTGAGGGCTTGAGCTACAGGCTCAGCCCTGAGCAAAGTGCCCAGCAGAGAGAAGGCTCTAGATCAAGTCTCACTGAACACTTTCCAAAGCAGATTTACTCTGGAATCAGCAAAATCAACCCTCTCAAAATCTCTTGCCTCTTTCAGTAATTTTATACGTTCCTGAGTACCATGACTAAAACCAAGAAACTGCTAACGGGTTTTGGGTATGTTTTGGGTATGATGTTTTTCCAGTGTTTGGGAGGGACTAAGAGGTGGCTTTACTTGAGAAAATTCCTTTCAGCTTTGAGGATTAAACACTTGGTCCAAGAAGAAAAGGACCTGGCTGTTGGCTGAGCCCTGGAACAAAGCACAAAGCTCCCACGGCTCTCTTGCCATCTCCCTTCACCCCCAGTGAGGGAAGCAGGTAATCTGGAGAAGAGGAAAGAGGAAGTGGGCCAGACAAGAGAAGTCTGATGGCCAGTTTTCCTCTAGTGCTAAGCTAACTTGGTGTCATAGCTTTTCCGAAGATTGAAATACAAAGTTTTTCTGTCCTAATTTCTTACGACACAAAGGAAACAAGTAGATAGAAAAATAAATAATATTTAAATGTTACAATCACATTAAAGATATATGATAGGAGTTAATTATTACTTCAATTTTTCACGGTGATTTCCCAAAATGATGAGGTCCCCATGGAACAGTTTTTGTAGAAGAGTCTTGGAGAAAAGTCCAACTACTATTCCAGGCACTGAAGAGTTAATGAAAACACTTTTTAAGCAACTGGCCTGAGAAGCTAAATGAGAAGCCTTTTCTTCCAACGTGTCCTTTCCTCAGCACTGTCTTTACATGTTCACGTGGGAATTACTTCAGAAATGTTGTTAACAATATAATGCCACTATAACTCCCCAACCCAAGATTTTGACTAATTTACACCTACAAGAAGACTTCAGTGATACATGAAATAATTCACAGAGCACACAGACTGGTATTTAGTATGCGACCCTGCTGACTGTTAGTTCAAAAAAAGAACTTACTTGGGTGCTGATATGAGAGGGGCACAGCAGCTGCAGCAGCATCCACATGAGGCATATCCCCGGCAGGAGAGAGCCCATCCATTTCCAACTGCCTTGGCCCGTTCCCTGCAGCTGCATGAGGCACAAACAATTATCCCATGAGTCCTTAATAATAACACCAAGACAAAGAAGGGCAGTGCAGTGTGGGGGCAACTGACTGGAGAACGGGAACTGAAGCCAAAGTAACTGGGTGCGCCCTTTCCTAACAGGATTCCATGAAGTTCCCAACATAACCACTTGCCAACGTATTTGCTTGTCAGAGTGTTTTTGTACTTGAAAGAATTAACTTTGTTTACAAAATTAGATTCGTTATCCAACAGGAAAATCAACCCAGTGACAGTGAAGAATTCAATTGGCTTGCTGATAATCATTTGAATTCCATTAAACTATCAATGATTTAACACAAAGACTTTAACAAATATTCACAAAATTTACCAAGCCCTCTCATTTAACTGTTCAAAATATTACATTTTCAGATTTGAAGATGAAGTTTACAAGGCTAACCAACAGCTTATATACAAATATAAAGAAAGAACCTTAGAGATGATAGGCTCTACATGCTTATTTTACACTTACAAAGTGGCTACAAAGTGAGACAGTCTAAGGCAGAGCCATAGCCAGGACACGAGTTTCTGGACTCTTAATATTCTTTTATCTCCATTCTTTTACTAAAAATGAGGTTTTGTAAATCTGAGGCAATCAACAGAATCAGTAAATTTAGAAAATAACATCCTTACACCAGGCACGGTGGCTCATGCCTGTAATCCCAGCACTTTGGGAGGCCGAGGCGGGCGGATCACTTGAGGTCAGGAGCTCAAGAGTAGCCTGGCCGATATGGTGAAACCTCATCTCTACTAAAAATACAAAACAACTAGCTGGGTGTGGTGGTGTGTGCCTGCGGTCCCAGCTACTCGGGAGGCTGAGGTAGATGAATCGCTTGGACCTGGGAGGAGGAGGGAGGTTGCAGTGAGCCAAGGTCGGACTACTGTACTCCAGCCTGGGCAACACAGACAGACTCCATCTCAAAAAAAATATAAATAAACATTGTTGTATTCTGTAAAAAGGTAAAAATAAATTAAGAAAAATCACTTATTTAAAATCTGATAATTATTTAAAATCTGATGTTAATAGTTCATTTATAAGCTAAAAAATTAGCTCAAACTCTGAAATTATTAGTCATACTGAAATTTTTAAAAAGTAAACAGACACATGCATGAAAATCTTCATGAGAGAAAAATGAGGTGATACATCTGTACTTGTGGTTGTATCACAAAATAATAATGACCCAATTTGTAACTGCTTTTCTTTTTAAACCAATGGATACGTTTCACCAAAACTAAGCTTTCTAGATTTTCAACTTATAAAAACTGATACTTATATTTGAACTTACATTCAAAAGATGATTCAAATTCCTCATTATCCTTAAAAGCTAGCTTGTCCACATCTGAAAATTCACTTTTGTCCTGAAGTTCAGTTTGTCTTTGATAAAGACTAGATTGGAAGGATAAAATTCATGAATGTGAAGTTTTAATAATGGAAAACCAAAGAGCACAAGGTGACAAAAAGCCTTTTGTGACTCAAGAAAAGGCTGTACAAAATTCCTTTTCTCTTTGTCTTGTAAAGAATAGCTCCACCTCACCACCACCACTAGGCATTGTTCTCAGCAATTAATACCTGTTTACTCAGTTACTCCTTGTAACTATTTCATGCTGTGAAGCAGATACTACAGTTGTTAATAAAGAATAATGTTGTACTCTGAATGCTATTCCTAGGAAATAACCATAAAACATTTCTGAAAAAAAATTCTGCATACTATCAGCATGAACCAGCTGAAGATGCAATACCACAACCTTGAGTGAGCAAAGTGCCCTAATTCAGCATGTGTGTGTCTTATCCTTTTGGCTTATCACAAAAAAAAAAAAAAAAAAAAAAAAAAAAAAAAAAAAAAAGCTTTAGGACCATGACAGGCCCACGTGGCAGAGGCAGAGAACTACATTAACATGCAGATGCCCAGGCTGGAGCCCAGAACTAAGGAGTCAGTTCTCTCTGCTGTGGGGCCCAGGTATGGGTAGGAGTCTGCTCATCACTCAAATCACAGCCTGGCTGACCCAGTGGCCTGTTTCTAAAAACATCCACTCCTTCCTGTTTCAAACAGTCATACTCTACTCCAGAGCCCACTACCACATTTGAATTTATTTCAATGATATGCAGGTCAGAACCTTATCTGTTTATATTTCAATGCCAAAATATTTTTAAATGACTTTTTAATGATGTGTAAAATTGTTCCAACTTTAGAAATAACCTCCATTTGTTTGCTTTCAGATTTTGTACATTTGTTTTTTATCTTAATAAACCAAGTCTATTCACAGAACCAGGAAGATGCTTATTTACACCAGATTGCATGGTCCATATATCAAGTTTAGCAAATAAGCATTATTCACTTATTTGCTAAAAACAATCTTTTTCCCTCCAGGTAATTTAGATGATTCTCAAAAATGACACATCATTTTGCAATCTGATTGCAAATTCTATACTGCCACATGATCTATAATAATTATCTCCAAAAAAAAAAAAAATCCCAGTAAAAAAAGTGAAGGCTGATACAGCAAATAACATGATTCAGCTGAAGCTAATCAATCAGAACATTATACTTACCCCACTTTCTGCTCCGTAGGGCTGGAGACGGGAGGGATGGAGAGGCTGTGCCTAGACTCAGTGGGTGATGGTAGGGGCATTCTGTCAGGACAAGGACTGGGGGAAACAACGTGTGATCTGCTCAGACCTAAGGTGCAGAAAGAACCAAGGAAAGAATATTATCAATTGCATGGAGAAGATACCAACGTGGTTTCTAAAGAGCTCTATTAGTTTGAAAATAAACTGTTATCCTCACAAAAAGCCAACTATGATGCATAAGATCCACAAAACTAATGATTCAAGCACGAAATTAAATTGCAGTGGCAATAATAAAATGCATGAAACCAACAGGCAGCAAAGGAAAGGCGACTATCACTCTCTAAACAGTTCTGTGTGCCAAGCAAACACCAGACCTTGCCACTCTGGCCCGGTGACCCTCACAGCAACCCGTGTCGTGGGCAGGGTGGCTACCCAACTCCAGAGCACCCCACAACCCTTTGTGCGGGTGGCTTACCTTCTAGATACATTTCACTTTCGAGGCTTCTTTTTGCTTTTGGAAGGGGTGTGGAAGAGAGGCGTCTGGAGGAAGTGCCCCCGTGGAGCCTCGAGGCTGCACTGCCTGTCAGTGCTTCCAAGACGTCATTCCTTTCTTCTTTAAGTGTGCCCACTTGAGGCTGCTCACAGACAACTCTGTCCTCTCCAAAGATATGTCTTTCCGGGGAACTCGAAGTCATGTTTTTGAAGGCTTCCAGCAAGTGCAGAGATGGTGGGCTCTTTGCTGCTAGTGGGCTTTTGGCAGAGTTTTTAATGACTCTCCGATGGTAACTTCTGAAAGCCTTTTCCAAGCGTTCAGCCTCTTGCTGAAGCTCTTTGACCCTTGCCTTAGTATTGGCTACAAACTCAAGGTCAGAATCAGGGGAACTACCCTCCACCCATGCATTTGGATAATTTGTGATCCTTGATGCAACCATACGTGCTAGAACTTTTTCATGTTTAAAAGGACTGTTCAAGAAATCCCCACTTATCTCATCATTGAGAGGCACCATGTTGCCATTTATTAATCCATTGACAGAACGATCGATCACAGACTGCTTTGGATTGCAGTACACTTCATTCTCTAGGGCTGCAGGGTACAAAAAGCAAATTTCAGAAGTGAGTGAACAAGGCAGAGAAGAAAATATACTCGAGAATATTATTTTTTTGAAAAATGGAAGAAAGTAATAAGGACAAACTTGCACGTTAAAGTTTCTGAAGCCATGGTAATGATAACCACTAACATTTATTGAGAGCTTATTATACCACCTACAGTTTCATATGTCTTTTGTAACACGATATAATTTCAGAATCCATTATGCACAATTTTGAAATCCACAAGGCTCTGAGAACTGAAAATTTATTCATAATTTATTTGGTGGCAAAGCCTAACCAGACTTGAACTCATTTGGCTGAAAAGTTTGACCTGAACTGATGTAAACCCATTTATAATCTTTATTTATCCCAGCATGAATATTCATACAGTTGACTGCAAAATAATTAATGTGTTTTACTATAGGATGCTGTTCAGAACTCCCAGGGCTAGTGCGAAATCCACAGCATATGGCCTGAGTTTCATATAAGGAAGTGAGGACCTGCATTCACAACAACACTGTGGTCAAGGAACTTCCGATTTTACAGATGGGGGAACTAAAGCTTACTGAGGCTGGGTCACACGGTTAGCAGGTCTAAGAGCTACTGGGCTTTCCTAATGCAAAGCCAGTGCGTGTGTCCCACTCTCCTGCAATGCCTCCCTGTGATGCTGCAAGAAAAAAGTTTGCCCTCGGCAACACATGCATGCGAAAGGGTTCTATCCTCATTCAACTATTTTTTATTGATAGGAAACTGCTATGACTTCAGCTGTGAGAAGTTTTGCAAACAGAATTGAAAGAAAATGAGGAACAGAAAAAAGTAGAAATGAGTAGAGATAAAAATAAAACAAGTGCTGGTAGAAGAGAGCAAGGAGCTGATAAGGAAAGAATGCAGGTGGGAATGAGGAAGGCTCAGACCTAGTTGAACTGGTAACACGTACGTACTTTCTTTGACCTTGAAAGCAACTGAAGAAGAAAGTATCTAAACTTCAATATCCTTCTTACGAAGTAGGAAGGGGCAGAGATGCATCCACAGTGAAGACACAATAATAAAATGATACCAATAACCATTTCCTGAGTGTCTTTTATGTCCCAGGTACTGGACTGAAACCCATTTCATTTCATCTTTTTCATCATGGCTCAGTAGGTATTATTATCCCCATTACAAATGAGGAGATTGAGGCCCAAGGAAGTTAAAGTAACATGCCCAAGGTCAAACAACTTCAAAACTGGGGTCCAAAAGAAGAACAGTTCTCTGATTCTGAGGGCAATGTTCTTTTTGCTAAACCACCCTGCTTGTCCTGTATATTTATATATCTATCAAGGAATCTGTAAAACTACTGAACTGGTGTTAACATTGGGGTAACAAATAAAAAAGGAAATCCTAGAATGAATGTGGGGACTTCTATGTCACCACCATGCCTTTCCTATTGGGGCATGAGACTCTCCCAAGCCATGAGGCACCTATGAAGCAAATCACTTTTGCTGATGATCCAGATGGTATTACCAAAATGGATAGGGAGTTTTACTTCTAAGATGACACATATTTCTATGGCTTTTCCTCTAACACAATAATTAATAGTCAATAAATTATGATCATTACATTTTCACAGACACCAGAAGCTTTATACACACAAAAATATTTATGGGTTAAAATGTCTCTAACCTGTCTGAGTTTGTTTCAGTTGCAATTTTAAATCGGCAACCTGAGTAGTTAACCTCTTTACAGAAGCTTTGTAACCCAGAATCTGGGCCTTCAGCTGTGCAGAATGCTCAATCTGAAAAGATTCAGAATAGGAAAAGAAATTCATGTAAAACAAATCACAGCTTGCTTCAAAAGGAAAAATTCTCTTATCATGTTTGTACTCTTTTTGTTCTGCCAATTTCAAGAAGCTTTATGACAGTAAACAAGAGGGTCCCTATTAAAAAAAAAACACAAGCAGAACAAACAAGTTTTTCACCATCTTTTTCAGTCATATCAAAGAACTCTAGGGCATGCAGGCAGAAATCAGAAGACACAGTGAATGTTTGTAATACTTCTCAGGGTGAGAATCGAGAGATAACAGTGGGTACCATCAGGCACTCAGAAAATTTTATATTTAGGTGAGTTTGCTTTCTTCTCCATTTTATTACTACTACGAATATAAAGTCATATTATCACTGCAAAATTTTCTCAGATGAGAAAGGATACCTTTAGCATATTTGGGAGAGTAATATTTGATGTTAAAATAAATCTGATTTACACTAGTATGACTTGTGCCAAGTTTACATATCTATGAAGTGTACTGGCATCACACTAGAACTGAAGAAGAGCAATACTCACTTCATCTTGCAGTTGTTTATGCAGAGCTTGCCTGCGGCTTTCGAACTCCTCATGCTCAACCACTATAGCCTTTTCAGCTTTCCGTAGTTCTTTCTGAAAGACTGCAAGTTCAGGAGCTGGCTGAGCTAGGCCTAACAAGGTAAAAAAAATCCTAGTCATTACCAACCTTAAGTTATTTCACTTAACAAAAACTGTTAAAGGGGTTTTAAAGTGTTCCTTTGCTTTGTACTCACGCAATAAATATGATAATAAGTCTATTAAATGAGCTCAGAGCAATCCTGACTCTCAAATTTCACAACAAAAGAATTTAGTGCATGTTAATGCAAACTTTATTACCCTTGGAGCCCTACTCCAAGTAAAAGAACTCTTTCAAATCCTCAAATTAACCTGAAAGCCTGTTTCTCTCCTCTACCATGCACAGAAGGAGCTCTCTCTCTGGTCTAACTGTTGATGACAGCCCTGGGATCCAATATGATCTGGGCATCTGACAGCAGCAGTTGGGATCCAAGCAGAAGGCAGATGGCTGTCACAGTCAAGGTCATCTAAGAACCCTTTAATAAAGGTTGACTTATTCAGGGTATGCACAAAGGATGGTGGAGTTCCCTGGGCTAGTAACAGAGCCACACTGTTAGCGCTCCTTGGGCCTTGAGAATCAGGGGAGGGAGAAATTCTCAGCACTGGAGAGAGGGAGGTGGTGCAGAGCACCCGGAAGAGGTCATCACAGGCACTATGACCTCACTTGGCCATGAGGCAGTGGCCAGCCTAGAGCTACTGTATGTAGAGGCTGGTGTCCCCACTGGCCACCAGTGAGAGGGCAAGGGAAGCCTTGATACCACCTAAAGCAGGTTTGCAGAGTTTAATCCAAGAATCTTAATTTTATAAATTTAATTTAATCCAAGAATTAAATTTGTAAAATTTAATCCAAGAATATAAATGTAATCCAAGAATCTTAATTTTATAAATCTTCCCAATTTAAGCCCCCCCTACCTTATACAAGTACAAAGCATAGTTTTATAATACTGACCTAATACAAGTTACTAAAACATGCAAGTCAGAAAAAAAGAAAAATACATACGGTTTAGGAGACGCAAGTTTTCATTTCTACTCTCTTCCAGTTGTTGTTTAAGTAATTTATTTTGTGCCAGAAGCTCCAGTTTCTCTTCTTTTAGTAGTGAATAATCACTCATCTCTTTAACCTTTTCATTCAGCATATGGTTTTGTTTTGTTATTGCCAAAGACTGTGCTTTGACAGACTCTAATTCAAGCTAAAATTCAAAAAGGAAAATTTACATTTGAATAATGACTTTACAGTACTGCACAAGTAAAAGCTGGCAGGCTCCTTTAAGCATGGTGTCACAATTTAATTAAGGTCACTGGACAGAAGTCTGACTCTCTGCAGTAAGACTCTAACTACAATAACGAAAATTATCTTCTGCCCTACAGTTGAGGCAGAAGTTTTATAGGTCACCATCCCATGAAGCAAGTCCTTCTAAGATTATCATCCCATTTTCCAGAGGCAACCAAGAACCCAACAACACTTACCCATCATAACAATATATATTTTTTAAATATGAAAAGGTAAGATAAAAATGGCTGGGCATGGTGGTTCACGCCTGTAATCGCAGCACTTTGGGAGGCTGAGGCAAGAGGATTGCTTGAGCTCAGGAGACCACCCTGGGCAACATGGCGAAACCCCATCTCTACTAAAAATACAAAAATTAGCTGGGCGTGGTGGCACATGGCTGTAATCCCAGCTACTCAAGAGGCTGAGACATGAGAATCACTTGAACCTGGGAGGTGGAAGTTGGTTGCAGTGAGCCAAGATCACACCACTGCACTCCAGCCTGGGCGAAAGAACAAGACTCTGTCTAGAAAGAAAGAAAGATTCTGTAACATGTTGTGAAGTGCTTCCCTTTTCTTAGTATAATATATACCATATTTGAGTACAAAAGCCTACAAAGTTCTCACATAAGTCAAAGTTGCTAAAATAAATTTTATATACAAAATATGTTGTAAGTACCTAAAGTTCCAGCTTCATCCTTCAGACAGCAAGCACATGAATGAATAGAAAAGTAAAGAAGCAATGATATGTGAAAAATGCACCTCATTTTGTTTTAATCTGTAAGATAACAATGTAATGACAGGAATTTTTTTACCTGCTGCTGATGGAAGGAGAGAACAGGCTGATGTAGAAACTAACAGTAATGGCCACCCGCTATGAACTAGGCACGTAAGTTAGCTTACTGAATTCCCTCAACAACCCTATAATGTGGAAAACATCTTAGTTTACAGCTCAGGAACCTGCAGTCACAGAACTTCCCTAGTGACACACAATCAGTTAGAGACACAGACAGGATTTAAGCAGGACTCCAGGACCCAAAGCTCTATCTACGCTTTCCTATGTGACACTGATTGAAATTAAGAACTGTTGAATTAACTTCAGCCATCACCTTCTTAGCCATATAAATGGCAGTCGAAACACCTCAAGAGGATGACTTAGGATAAATTATGTATGACTAAAATTTCATATATTGCTTAAAATCTATTTCAAAAACCAATATGCTTAACAATTACCTCAAGTTCTTTCACACGATTTACAGATTGATTGAGTTCCTCCTTTTTTGAATTAATAGCTGTGAGCTCCTCTTGCAAATGAACAGCTTTTTCTGAAAAAAGAGCCCACCAATTAAACACCATAATGTTTTCCTAGTGAATACAAAAGCCATTTAATATTTATGGCCAGTATGTCAGACCTAATGACCACTATTTCACAATCCAAATAGCAGAGGTAGGGGGCAAGTAAGAAATAAACCCTATTACCCAACAGGTGATGTGAAGCTATAACTGTCATGTATGTGGTGAAATTCCACTTGCTACACATGCTAACCAGAGTTATACCATCTGCTCAAAGCACAGAGCCCTAATACCCACAGCTCTTAACTTCCTTGAAGACAAAGATCTGTCTGTTACTATATTGTAGTTAGTATTTTGTAGTTTTCACTTCATCTAACACAAGTCTATGTAGGTATATCATCAAACCATAATTTGTTATATACATAATGGTACCAATCCATAAAAGAAGTATTAGTCTCCACAAGATAGTAAAAGAGGCTGGGCACAATGGCTCATGCCTGTAATACCAGCACTTTGGGAGACCAAGGCAGGCGGATCACCTGAGGTCAGGAGTTCGAGACCAGCCTGGCCAACATGGTGAAACTCTGTCTCTACAAAATTTAGCAGGGCATGGTGGCGCACACCTGTAGTCCCAGCTACTTGGGAGGCTGAGGCACAAGAATCACTTGAACCCAAGAGGCGGAGGCTGCAGTGAGCCGAGATTGTGCCACTGTACTCCAGCCTGGGCAACAGAGCAAGACTCCATCTCTAAAACAAAAAAAAAGACAGTAGCCACACATCGGGTATCTGGGTCAACATCAACTACCCAACCCTGGTTTACTCCCAAGAATCTACTTGAAATTTCCACCAAAACTTCAACTTCTTGTTGCAGCAATTTCCTAGAAATACATTGAAATGTAAAACATCTGAAGACTGAAAAATTATTCAACTTCCATAGTCTCAGGCCAATGTACACAAGAGTTCAGAAGGTTATACATCAAGTAAAAATATCGTAAAGCATAAAAATACATTAGAAGCAAAAGAAATAAGAAACTAGGTCACAGGGGACAGAGAAGTTGAAGTTTTCCGTAAGTGAAAAATAAAGTCTCTCATGGTTAGGAGTAATACGTACTTGATGGCAGTAAGTTGCTGCTACTTTCCTGACAATTGCAGATTTATCAAAATATATGAAATAAAGTTGGATAAAATATCCATGATAAATCACTGGCCTTTGTGAATATACAAATTATTAAACATGAAGGTTTCTCAAAAGGCAGTGAAGACAATTTTTTTTTTAATTTATAAAATTAAAATTACAAAAATGTAATTTTGTAGAAACAATGAAGTGTAAGCTATATTTTTTAGAATATGGAACAGGCCCAACTTGGGAAGCTAATAACCTACAGCAGAACTGAAAATTACAGCTTATTTCCCCCCTAAACATCACCTTTATTCTTCCTTTCATCTTCAATCAGTCGATTAGTTCTAATGATGTAGTCATCCTTCAGTTCAAGTTGATACCTGAGAATCAGAATGACTAAATATGAGCTCCTCAGTCATTTTTCTGGAAAGACTGTTATCAGTGCAGGAACTTATCTATGGCACAGGAGCACCTGAGGGCGCTGAACATGACACTGTGTAAACTTCAAAGTCCTCAATACTAAAGCCAGGGATATGACCTCTGAACATAAAATGCCCAGTAAAACCCTTCCTCGATCCTATAAACTGGGTCCCAAAACTCAATCACACAAGATGAAGGGTCGTATTATCATAAGGTTATTTACTGAAAACAATCACTTTTCAGTTGGTCTCAACCGACACAAAGAGCAAAGGGGTAAATTAAATTTACAGAGCACACAACAGACTCAATCCCAAATGATAATCAGACAGTCACTTCCAATCCACCTGTACCATCTGCCCACCCCCAACCAAGGTAAGAACTTTTGTGCTCAGGGACTAAGCGCAGTCCTGAGAGCCAACCGCCAAGGGCATTATACCCGGATTAGCAATACCAAAAGGCACATTTTCACCGTTTCACTTCCCTTTCCCAGCTGTTACCATCTGCCCTTTTGGTTCCAAAAGGAAATAGAAGCACTCCTGTGGTGAAGAGCCTCCAAACTCCAACACCTGCCAAAGTCATATGAGGATTCCCAAAGCCAGACAAACACCATGCAGCCTGTGGAAGCTGTCACAATGATACCAAACAGTTCACTAGCTCCCTAACTATGTAAAATTAACACACATACTTTAATTCATTTATTCCTAAAAATTCAGCAACTACAGACACTTCCATTTTAGCTATTTTAGTATAGAAACTGACATAGAAGGTGTGGGTAAAATACATCATTTCAAAATCAATAGATAAAAAAGGTGCCATATTTTTAAAAAATAGAATTTGTTTAAAGGATAACCTCAAGAAACCTTTGCAATACTATGTAATGGAATATCAATGACAAATTGAGGAAGGGAATAAAAGAGGCCAAATAAGAAATGCCCAGACCACCTGAGCTGAATCATTTCCTCGCGACACATTTACAGTAAATATTAACTAAGCACTTTTTATGTGCCACATGCTTTCCCACACACTGAAGAGAAATGTTACCACACGGGCATAATATCGTAGCACTGAGATGTTATTCACTGATACACAAAACTCAGACTACAGAAAAGCCAAAGTAACCGTAGTTGTCCATATTTTCCTTTCTCTGTATCACTTTTTGCCTCACATAGTTAATTTTAGCTTTTTTGATTCTGGCTTTGCTGAATCTTGAAGAAATACGAGGCACATGTTCACTGACAAATACTATGACCATTAGTGTAATTTATATATGGTTAGATACCCCCATCCTTGGGGCTGTATGAGTGAGGCAGAGAAAAAGATAATTAAAAGTGGTTATAATTCCAATTTTACAGCTTATCAACTATGCAAGCTGAGCAAGTCACAAGGTGTACTGAAAATTAAAGCAAATCACAGCCCGCAATAAATGCTAGAGAAGCCATAAGAAGCACAGAGGATGTGCATCTCTATACGTTTTTTTTTTTTTTTTTTTTTGAGATGGATTCTTGCTGTTACCCAGGCTAGTACAGTGCAGTAGCACAATTTCAGCTCACTGCAACCTCTGCCTCCTGGGTTCAAGTGAATCCCCAGTAGCTGGGATTACAAGCACTCACCACCACACCCAGCTAATTTTTGTGTTTTTAGTAGAGATGGGGTTTCACCATGTTGGCCAGGCTGGTCTTGAACTCCTGACCTCAGGTGATCCGCCCACCTCAGCCTCCCAGAGTGCTGGGATTACAGGCGTGAGCCACCACACCTGGCTCTTATATTTTAAAAACTATCCTAACTTAAATGCAGGAAAGGATTGACTGTATTGATAAAACTATGTATTTTTTTTCTAAACACTAAAGTTTGCCTAAGTTACAGACTACTTCGTCAGTTTTTGTTTCTACCAACTTAATTTAAACATATCAGTTATTTAAAAATGCTTAACAATTACTTTAGAAGTTCATTCTTGAGCTTTCGGTCATAGGTCTCCTCAAAGTTCTTTATATTCTGCTCCCGTCTCCTAAGTGCCTCAGTTATGCTTTTATGTTTTTCTTCCTGGAGCTTCTGGTTCCTGAAATTAGCAAAAATATAAAAAGTAAATAAACTACCATAGCGGAGCTAACAAATTTAGGAAAAAAATCACACGTGTCTAGTTCAACAGACTAAAACTGCTACATGATATCACTATTGGGAAGTAGAAAGAAAGAGCCAGAAGTCCTCAGTGTATTTTATGAACTGACCTAGTTACAGCGTATTGAAACTAGCAGAACTGACTATGGCTTTGGGCTGAGGGGAGTGGGAGAGTCTCAAGAGGGAAGTGGTTTCTCACAGAAGATAAACACTTAAACAATGGTTATAGGTGCTAAACGGCCAAAATCAATCCTGGGATGAAAGAATATTATTAGTTACAAAGTAACAAGTAAGTGTACTTACGTGCTTGAATCTTCTATAATACTGTTTCTAACTGTGGGATTTAATTAATTAGTCCATATATATTCAAGATAGAATATTTGTTTTTGTCATTTAATGACCAATCAGCTTTAGCCAAGTGTGGTGGCCCGCACCTATAATCCCAGTTTTTCAGAAGGCTGAGGCAGGAGGATCACTTGATCCCAAGTGTTTGAGACCAGCCTGGGCAATACAGACAGACCCTGTGTCTTAAAAACAAAACAAAACAAACAAAAAAACCTATTGATTGAATACTGAAAAAAGTACCAAAAGAGAGGGCAAAAGATAGATGGATCAATCAGGGCTTCCAAATACTGAAGAATAGAATGGTCTTCACAGTGAGACTTTAAATCAACCATAGTACCAACTCCTTAGCCAGCCAGGGAGGTAGGTTCACAGGTAGTGAAATCCAGTCATCCTGAGAAGTGCTACAAAATGCTGACTAGTCCAAGAACAGGTAAAGGCTCTAGGTATTAGCTCCCTCTGCTGGTAACCTGGAAAGTCGTGGAGAGGTAAACTACATTTATTTAGTTTATACGCTAAGAAGGAGGGAACAAGAGTAGAGAAAATGGAGGTAAAGGTATGATGAACTTTCTCTGCCCCAATTTTGTGCTTATTTCTCTCTCTTGATCAATCTGCCTTTTCATTATTGCCAAAAAGAGAGTAAGGTAGACCGAGAGTTGAAATTAAACAAATGAAGCCTATAGAAGTGAGAAAAAAACATTAATGAAGATGGAGACAAATTAACGAACTAAGATTCCTGGAGTATCTATGGGTGTCAATAGCAGATTCCCAAAGGAAAAGAAGGCTTACTGCACAAACTATGGACAGGTGAGCTTGCTGCCAATCCCAGGTAAGATCTGAGGGATGAAACATTTGTGAGCACTCAGAAAAAGTGAATAACACAAAGAAATAGTTTCACCAAATACAAGTCAAGTCGGACCACGATACTTCCTTTTCTGAGCACACAGCTGGTAAAAGCTGTAGGCCTGGATATATGGAATTCAGTTACTATACATACACACATGGAACTATCAGATCTGAGGGACTGAATGTAACTGCAAAACATACAATCTGTTCCAGTATTAACAGCTTCTCCAAATTATCTATCTGGTCTTACTGTAGCCTGATGATAGCATCTCATTGGTCTTTTCATCTTAATGTTTAATATTTCAAAAGCAAAACCCTAGTGTTTGTTCCTCTTAATTTGTACCTTCTAATGCTAGGTGATATCCCCTTCACAAACAAGAACTCTACTTGGCAATGAACATTAGAATATTTAGACATATATTTAATAATTCTTTTTAATCTCATCACTCTGAATATCCAAAATGAACATGCATTACTTACAATTCAAAAGCTTCAACTCTTTGCTTCAGCTCTGCTTCTCTTCCTCTTAGCAAATCCATATCTTTTAGTAAAAGCTGCCTTTGAGCATAAATTTCTTTTGTTTCAATCTGTATAGAAAAGCATTAATTTTTAGCAAGCAAGCTAATGAAAGCAAAACAGATTTGAATGAATATACTGCTTCCTAAATTCCAAAAAGCAAAGTACAGACATTTAGGATAACAATTTCACCTTCAAGAGATTCCAACTCAAGGTATGCTTTTTGCTTATTCTAGCTGCATAAAAATTTACTCCCCCAATGACTGTTAAACTACCATTACCCTATAGTCCTAACATGCCATGTGTAATTTATGCTATTTAGTTCTTTAACATCTCTCAGTCCATTATCCAAAAAAAAAAAAATTTTTTTTTGAGACAGGGTCTCTGTTGCACAGGCCGGAGTGCAGTGGGGTGATCCTGGCTCACTGCAACCTCTGCCTCCCAAGCTCAAGGGTTCCTCCCACCTCAGCCTACTGAGTAGCTGCAGGCACTACAGGCACATACCACCAAGTCGGGCTGATGTTTTGTATTTTTGTAGAGATGGGGTTTTGCCATGCTGCCCAGGCTGGTCTTGAACTTCTGGGCTCAAGTGATATGCTTTGCCTTGGCCTCCCAAAGTGCTGGGACTACAAGCATGAGCCACCAAACCTGGAGCCCTTACCTAAATTTTGGCATGTTCCCCAGGAAGAAAAATTAAACAAAATGTACATTCAGCAACAAAACTCCAAAAGAATCGAACCCCCATAGTTTTTAGTGGTGGTGCTGTCTGAATGTTTCAGTTCATGGGTCATTCTGACTCAGAGTTAGCAAGCTCATATGAACTCCTAAAAGAACGGGCCATCCTTCCATTTGTGTGTTCACAGAGAAAGAATTTACTAACTACCCACGACATGTCAAGCAGCATACTGGAAACTGGATATAAAAAGGTAGACAGATACAGTCCTCATCTCTAAAGACCTCACAATTTAGTCAAGGAGTGAGAAACAATCACACTAAGATGTGATGATTTTGTAACTGAAGTACATAGAGAGTGATGCAGGAACAAGGCCTAAATGAGTCGCTCAGTGGGAGTCAGGGAAGGCATTACCCAGGTGACATCCAAGCTGGGTCTTGAAAGACAGTATGGTTTTGTCAGGGAAAGAAGGGGATGGACAGTCCAGGTGAGGGAATAAAGATATGGTGCTTTTTATGAGGATGACAATCTTCTTCAAAGCTTTCAGATAATCAGAGTTAAACAAACAGGGATCTAGTCAGTCACCTATCTTGAAGATGGAGTTATTAGTCTAAACACAATCTAATCATCTCAAAGATATATGCTTCCAACATTCATTTTTATAGCTGAAGCAAGCCCAATTCCCAGAAATGCTATACAAAATTTTAGAGGGGGTGCCCTTAGCATTATACAACCAGGTCTTATTGAGAAGCCCCAAGCAAGAGTGGACACTAGGGGGAAGCATTCCTACTTTCAACATCTGACAGCAGTAGTTTTGGATGTATGTTGGAAATAGTGCGGTAAATCTAGTTTGGTCTAAGACACGCCCTTGGGAAAGGAATATGATCTTAAAGGAGTAGATCCAATCCCGCTTGCCAACATGGACTCCCTCCCACTCTTCACCCTCTCCGTCTCCTGTCCAGTTACTTTCTGGGGTGACAAGATCAAATGGTCACATGGATGACCCTTGTGGCCCTGGTGACTCCTTTACCCCGGGGACCTTCATCCTTGCTCATTTCCATGGCTCTCTCCAATGGCAGCATACTGCATTTGGTTTCTAGTCTCCACCTGAAACCTCATCCTGCAATTCTATATTCTTGGACCATTCTTATTCTTCCAACTACCAGTCTCTCTAGATCGAGTCCTTGATCACTGACACTGCCACTCAATCCTCCCTTTCCCCCAGAAGCCACCTGCCCTCTCCTCTGCTTCCCTTCACTACCCAAGAGAGCCCCAGAATCTTCAATTAAATAGGCTGCCTTTCTCTAGTCAAATAAATTAGGCTCTGAAAAGCTCCACTTCCAAAGCATCTCCATTTTTCCACCCTCACTGAAAGGGGCAGAAAGAGATACTTACAAATCCTCCCCAGAACTAGAACAGAAAACTCACCTACAAGCACATGGGTTGATCTCTCTCAATTCCAGGCTCCCCCAACCACAGCTGAGCCCTCAATACAGGTGATCAGTCCTCTTTGCTTTAAAGGGCTGTTCTTCCCTTATCCACAGGAGCTACTCTGCACCTCCAATCTGCTCCTAAAACCCGAGATCTAACCCTCTAATCTGCCTGAGGAGATGGAGCTTATTTAGGGTATGTTTCTCATAATCCCAACTTGATTGTTCACCTCCACAGTTCTTCCCTTTCCACCAGTCTCAGAGGAAGCAAATTTGTGTATTCTTTTCAAGGCCCATCCTTCTGTTTGCACTCTTGGCCCCACTCCCTATTGCTCTTCTGGGGCCTTGTTCCATCAATTGTACCATCCTGTTCCTGGATCTTGAGCCAACCTACTAATAGCTGCAGGAAATAGCCACACATAAAATATTTGTAAATACCACCTCTTGGTGCTTTTGAATTCTTTCAAGGGTACTCTTTTCCCGAAGAACGAGGGCTTCAGATTTTGCTTGACAGGCTTTCTCAAAATCATTCTGGAACATGGCTAATTCCTTCTCATACTTTTTTTTCGCTTCCATTTTAATTTTTGCTATCTCGGTATCTTTAAAAAACTTCAACTGCAAATTGATCACAAAAAATTAAAAATACCATTATACTATTAAAAAAAGGAACAAGTTCTCTCTTTACATCTAGGTTTAACATAATGCTCTGCCCAAATATATTTATTTCATCTTTAGTTTTATTTCATTCACTGTATTTGTGGGATTCACTCAACAGGCATAAACAAATGTCATCAGAAATAAAAAAATATGTGCACAACAGTATAGTATCCCATTCACTATTAAAAGTTCTAGATATTTTCCCATATACCTAAGGTTAAGACTTTAGAAGACAAGCAAAAACATCACTCCTATTAACGGTAACAAGATAAAGCTTACCTTTTGACACATTTCTGCCCGAAGTTGCTCTTCTATTTCTCTCTTATATTCATTTAGCTTTATTTCTAAAGATTCGAACTTGATACGCTGAGGGTAAGCATCTGCAAACTGATCATCAATAAGCTGAAGCTTCTCAGCTATTAAAAAATAACACATCAAATTAGGACATAGAAACATGGTCAGGTGTGTAAGATGCCAGACCTCTGGTTCAAAAGAGCATACTTAGGTGAAAGTGTAGGGATGTCTGCAACTTACTTTGAAATACAAAAAAAGGAAAGTCGATGAATGGATGGACAGATAAAAATGATGAAGCGCGTATAATACAAGCGTAATAGTGGAATCTAGGTGGTGGATATACAAGTGTTCACTAAAATTGTATCAACTTTTCTGTATGTTTAAAAATGTTCATCATAAAATGTTAGAGGACAAAGAAAGCCAAGAGTACAGTTTAAGTCAGAAAACACTGGAGTCTTTTCCTACTCTCTAAGTGCTAAGACAGAGAGCTCTTTATTGGACTTCAGTTAAAGCTGACTTACACATTCAAAACAATAACTTTAAAAAGAATCAAAGATCATGTACATCAACGCCTCCCCTTTACAGATAAAGAACAAATGCCGATACAGCTTAGTAAGTGACTACATAACAGCATAACCAGGATTAAAGTGAGGTCTGCTGACTCTTTCTTCCCTTAGTCCACGGCCCTCAAACAAACTATGGATCCGAATCAACCACACAGCAAAGTGCAAATCTCAACCCACAGTACAATCTCAACCATGTATGACGCCCACCAAAAAAGTATGCACAGATCGAAAAAGGTTGGCAGAAGTAGATTAAAACACTGATAGTGTTTGTCTCTGGTAGGGATGACTTTAGACATGTTTTTCCATCTACTTTTCTATATTTTCCAAATGCTGTCCAATACAGGACTCTCCAGCCACACGGGGCCATTGACACTTCAAATGTGACCAAATTGAACTGAGATGTGCTTTAAATGTAAAAAACACATGAGATTTCAAAGGCTTAGTGCAAAAACTAAATGTGAAATATCTCATTAGTATTTTTTATATTGAATACATGTTGAAATAATATTTTGGATGCATTGGGTTAACATTATTAAAACAAATTTCACCTGTTTCTTTTTACTTTTTTCAATGTGGCTGCCAGAAAATTTAAAATTACATATGTGGTTCACACCACTGAACAACACTGCTTGATAATTAGCAAGTAGTATGTTTCTAATTGAATTAAACCTACACTTGATGAAAGGCATAGTCATATAATACGTTTTATGAATTATGAACTTATCTTCTTACAAGTTACTGTTACTATTTAAGAGTAAGGAAGGGCCAAGAAATCCATTAAGCATATCATTTTAAACAGCTGTTTCCCATCTCTACTGAGCACAAAACTGATGGACAGGATGGTATTGTAGACCAGCTGGATAGTACAAAAAGCTCTAGATCATGGACAGGAGAACTTGGACTCCACTATTAGTTCTGATGCAGCCTGAGTGTTTCCAAGTTGCTCTTCCTCTGAGGACCTCGGTTTCCTCAACTATAAAATGAAGTGATGAGCCAGTGACTTCTTTAGTTCTTTGCAAAGCAAGTAGTTTAATCTTCTAACTGGGTGGCTGTAAAGTTAGACAAGACACAAGGAAGAACCTCCCAGTTAAGAGAAGTCAAACTCAACAAGGAAGAATATGGGCCTTTGAATGCCTGCATGATTTGGCCAATGTAGCCCTGGCATTTATGAGGCTAGGGAATGACCCTGGAGAGCACTTCCTGGTCCCCCATGATGATTCCAGAAGAAATGAATTCCCTTGTTGCCTGCAGGTTGCATCCCTCCAGTTCAAGCAGCAATCACACAATATCATAAATCAGATAATTTCCTTCATTCAAAATGAAAATAGCAGAACTGAAATTAAGAAAGGCTGTAATTACCCAGAGAATCTCTGCTAAGTGTCGAACTTGTCTGAGTTTCCATATTGCAACTTTCTTTAGCTTGATGATATTCTGCCAATTCTTTTAAAAAATGCATAAGAAAACCTAAAAAACATAATGCATAAGTTTTGTTTCACAACTTTCAACCACTGCTCAGTCACTGTTTATACAATCTTAGTTTTATGACATTACTATTTTTTACATTATATATCTTTCCTTTTTTTAGAGACAAGAGTCTTGCTCTGTCACGCAGGCTGGAGTGCAGTGGTGTAATCATGGCTCACTGCAGCCTCAACCTCCTGGGCTCAAGCAATCCTCCTACTTCAGCCTCCCAAGTAGCTGGGACTAGAGGCACACACCACCACCCACCATGCCCAGCTAATTTTACTTTTCGTATAAACAGAGTCTCACTATGTTGCCCAGGCTAGTCTCAAACTCATGCCCTCAAGCAATCCTCCTGCCTGGGCCTCCCAAAGTGCTGGGATCACAAGCATGAGCCACTGTGCCCAGTCATATCTTTCAATAAATTTGAGGAAAAGCCTTCCCAAGCCTGATGCAAAACCTGGAAGGAATAAGGAGAAATATTTATCAATCTAACTGCATAAAAAGTGAAAGCTTACATATGGCATAAAATAAAAAGATAACATACTGGGAAAAATAGTTGCAATAATATGGAGGCATAACCAAGACTAAAGTGATGACATTTTCATAACATTGAAGAACTCTTACAAATCAGTTAAAAAAAAAAAAAAAAACAGAAAAACGGGAAAAAACGTGGACAGTGCGTAGAAAAAAATAGTCAAAGATGAACAAAATGTTTAGATGCTGAATAAACATGAACAAAATCATAAATGCAAATTAATACAACGGAGAAACCACTATTTTCCCTATAACACTGCTAAGATTGAAACTTGTATAATGCTAAGTGTTGGCAAGGGAGTGGATATATAGCTATGCTCATTCACTTGGGAGAGAAATTTGCCAGCGCTTATATATATTTGAAATGCATGTGCCCTTTAGTCATTCCACTTCTATGAATTTACACAGCTATACTTTTATAAGGGCACAAAGGGTGCACACTGCACAATGGTCTGCACATTGGTTACCTGTAATGGCAAAAAGCAAACAATAAAACAACCAAATCTCAATCAATAGGGGGTTAAATACATTCTTTAAAAATAATTAGTCTATACTGCTATAGAAAGACATACTGGTGGATTAAAAAAAGCAAATTGCATACAGTATCTATGATATAATCTTGATTGTGTTTTAATTACAAATACATAATTTTAACCTCAGTTTTAGAAGGATAAACAAGAAACTTAAATCTAGTTATCAGTGGAGTGAAACTGTTAATTCTAATTATCAGTGGAGCATGAGATTAGAGAACATGGGCAGAAACTGCTACTTTGCTTTCACTTTATATCCTTCTGAATAGTTTGAGACTTTGTTTTAAACCACACGCATAAATTACTTAAGAAATGTTTAGTTTCCTGGAACTAAAAACATTAGTTAGCTCAGCACCTTTTCCCCCACCCCCACCCCCACCTCCTTCAGGGAGGGGATCAGATTGTTTTGTCACTGTCTGCATTCCATCCTGGGATCACCTGAGGTAAATTTGCAAACATTAAGGTTCACTCTTGATGATGTAACGCTCTATGGGTTTTGACATTGGGTCTTTTCATTCTCTTAACAGTGTCTTTCGGCAGGGTGCAGTGACTCACACTTGTAATCCCAGCACTCTGGGAGGCTGAGGTGGGCGGATCACCTGAGGTCAAGGGATCAAGACCAGCCTGGTCAACATGATGAACCCCATCTCTATTAAAAACACAAAAAAATTAGCCAGACGTGATGGCAGGCACCTGTCGTCCCAGCTACTCAGGAGGCTGAGACAGGAGAATCACTCGAACCCAAGAGGCGGAGGCTGCAGTGAGCTGAGGTCGCACCACTGCCCTCCAGCCTGGGCGGCAGAGTGAAACTCAATCTCAAAAACAAAACAAAAAGAACAGTATCTTTCACAGAGATGTTTTTAATTTTAATAAAGTCTAACTGATCTACTTTTTTCTTTCATATATCTTGCTCTTGGTGTTACATCTCATCACGAAACCCAAGATCACACAGACTTTCTACTGTTCTCATCTGGAAGTTTTATAGTTTTGCATTTTACATTTAGGTCTATGGTTCATTTTGAGTTAGTTTTTGTGTAAAGTATAAGATCTGTGTCTAGGTTCACTTTTGTGAATATGAATATCCAATTGTTACAGCACCACTTGTTGAAAAGACTATCTTTCCTCTATTGAACTGCCTTTGCATCTTTGTTAAAAAAAATCAATGACTATATTTGTGTGGATGTATTTCTGGACTTTCTAATTCTGTCCCCATTGATGTGTATGTCTATTCTTTTGCCAACTGCAGATAAGAATTTTAACTTCCAAAAAGCAAAGGGCCAATATCCAAATTTTCTTCCCTCTTCCAAATTTTGTGCACATCATTTTCTGGATATTGTCAGGCCTCTGAGTCAAAGCTCAGCCATTGTAACCCCCATGACCTGCACATATACGTCCAGATGGCCTGCAGGAGCCAGCCGAAAAACCACAGAAGTGAAACAGCTCCTTCCTTAACTGATTGACCAACCTTACGACATTCCACCATTATTACTTGTTCCTGCCCTGCTCCAACCGATCAATCGACCTTGTGACATTCTTCTTCTGGACAATGAGTCCCATGATCTCTCCACCATGCACCTTGGGACCCCCTCCCCTGCTAACAATAGATAACCACCATTAATTGTAACTTTCCACTGCCGACCCAAGCCCTATAAAGCTGCCCCTCTCCTATCTCCCTTCACTGACTCTCTTTTTGGACTCAGCACACTTGCACCCAACAAGGCTGTTTATTCACTTTATAAAGTTTATTCACTTTATAAACAGCCTTGTTGCTCACACAAAGCCTGTTTGGTGGTCTCTTCACACGGACGTGCATAACAGGTATCACTATCTCTGAAAGGAAAAATTAGGAGTGGGAAGAATGGGTGATTAGAATCTAGGAGAAAAGTACCACAGTCATTCAACAGCTTAGCATCCCCTGAGCATAGATATGGTAGGATAAGACCACAGGTCTCTGAGTCAGGGGACAGATAACAGTTAAGTACAAAATATCTTTCTCTTTCTACATGTTTTCTGTTGGTTAATTGGAAGACACCAATTTTTTAAAAAAAATTTTATCTTACCAGGAACTATTTTATTGTTAGCTAAGAGTTCTATCCAAATTTTGGCACTAGGAAGCCTGACATATCTGCAACTCATAGTTTTTCTGGCTTCCAGAAATTTTACTGGGATGCCAGGTGAAGCTGGTAACGGCTGTCAGCCAGATGTCTTTCTGAACCAGATGCATTTAAAGAGACTGAAGAGACTGTGTAAAAACTTTTTTCTTTCTTTCTTTTTTTTTTTGAGACAGAGTCTTGCTCTGTTGCTAGGCTGGAGCGCAGTGGCGCGATCTCAGCTCATTGCAACCTCCGCCTCCCCAGGGTTCAAGCGATTCTCCTGCCTCAGCCTCCCAAATAGCTGGGACTACAGGTGAACGCCACCATGCCTGGCTAACTTTTGTATTTCAGTAGAGGCAGGGTTTCACCATGTTGGCCAGGATGGCCTTGCTCTCCTGACCTCGTGATCTGCCCACCTCAGCCTCCCAAAGTGCTGGGATTACAGGCGTGAGCCACTGCGCCCAGCCATGGAAAAACTGTTTTTAAGGATAATGTATCTACATAGATTTTTTTTTTTCTTTTGAGATGTAGTCCAGCTCTGTCACCCAGACTGGAGTGTGGTGGCGCTATCTTGGCTCACTGCAACCTTTACCTCTCCGGTTCAAGCGATTCGTCTGCCTCAGCCTCCCAAGTAGCTGGGATTACAGGCACTCGACACCACGCCTGGCTAATTTTTGTATTTCTAATACAAAATTTTTGTATTTTAGTAGAGATGGTGTTTCAACATGTTTCACCATGTTGGCCAGGCTGGTCTCGAACCCCTGACCTCAAGTGATCAGCCAGATTTGCCCTCCCAAAGTGCTGGGATTACAGGCATGAGCCACCGTGCCTGGCCCATAGATTATTTCTTAATATCCCTTCAAGCCATGAAATAATAGTTAAGTAAAAGATACTAGCTATATACCTCAGAGTTATGCTAATATGGTAGTCACTATGCATGTGTAGCTAATTAAACGTAAATTTAAAATTCAGTTATTCAGTCACACTAGCCACATTTCAAGGCTCAATAGCCACATGAGGCTAGCAGCTACCACATTAAACAGCATAGATATAGACATTTCCATAATCACAGAGTTACACTGGACAGTTCCTAGAGCACAGAATATAGGATCATTTACCATACTGAACTTCAGTAGGGATGGTCTAGTTTGTGGGCAGCCCAGAATATCCTATGTTCCAATTTATTTATCCTCTGCTAACATTACTACCAAAAGACTTGGCAATTAAGTCACAGACTTAATGGCTGGCAGAAAAATAAGTATTCACATGATTAAGTTCTGCATGAATTGGCGAACGAACAGATGAATAAAGGAATGTCCTTGAGGGGATGATAGCAGTGCAGGCAACAGACAAAATCCAAGGGTGTACCAAAACAAAAGGACTATTACTAACAGCTTATTTTAAAATACCTAAAGCATAACTATGCATCAAAGCCAAGTTGCCAGCTTATGTTCATGCTACAAAGCCCATCATCAAGTCTAACTAACGGTCTGAAACCCACAGTAGTTATGGACTCTATGAAAGGTTGTTATCAAGGCCAAAACTAAGGCAATTTATTAGGTCTATATAAACATTTTTGTTTGTTTGTTTTTTGAGACGGAGTTTTGCTCTTGTTGCCCAGGCTGGAGTGTAATGGCATGATCTCAGCTCACCACAACCTCTGCCTTCGAGGTTCAAGCAATTCTCCTGTCTCAGCCTCCTGAGTAGCTGTGATTACAACCATGTGCCACCACACGTGGCTAATTTTTTTGTATTTTTAGTAGAAACGGGGTTTCTCCAGGTTGGTCAGGCTGGTCTCAAACTCCCGACCTCAGGTGATCCACCCGCCTCGGCCTCCCAAAGTGCTGGGATTACAGGCGTGAGCAACCGCGCCTGGCCTGTATGAACACTTAAGAACAAAAGACATATAACACATTACTGAATACAACTCTCATTCTTTAAGGAAATATTAATACATCTAATACCCTATCAATTATACTTGAGAGGGATACCTAGTATACAAAGACACTTGGCCTAAAAGTTACTAGTTTTTTGAGGTTTTTTTTTTTTTTCCTGCCGAAATGTTCCCAACAGTGGGTATTTTTACAAACAGTATCTTTCAGCCTGTCTGTAGGGCCTTTGATACTGTCTGCAGTTTTCTTATTTGAATATCTAAGTTATTACAAAAATGGAAAAATAAGGGAAATGACCTGCAGAAATCAAATAATTTAAATCAAATTAAATTTTACTCTTCTCCTTAAAAGTTAGCTTAATTCTTTTAGAGGAAAAAGTACATAGAAAAATGTTGCTGTTCTCTACAAAGATGATGGCTCCTACCTTTTTGATTTTCTTTATCAGATCCTGAAACCTGTTAAAAGAAAATATTTTACTTTTATTCAGCTATTCAGTTATAATTAACAAACCAAAGTAGATTATAGAAACTGAGCCATCATACCAGTGATTTGTAGAGACTGGAAGTAGGGTTGATTTTAATGAGTTGTAATAGATCCTGCATAGTAAATACCTTAAGAAAAAAAAAAAGGTTACTAATTAGACATATTGTTATATCAGTGTTTAAATGATAAATTAGGATGTTTCTGAATATGAAATTAAGAAACATCCTTCAGATTAAATAAGATTATAACTATGCTAATAAAGCAAACTTAAAGTTCTTACAGTTAAATAAGTTACTATAAACATATCAAGGTCAAAAGGACAAAATATCTTTACCATGTAATTAACTTCTAAGTACTTCACATCAAAGATGATATGTCTAACAGAAATGTTTAATGCCTTACAGATGACACTGAAATATCCAATGAATACATGACTGAGTTCCTGGGTCATTCAATTACAATTTTTTAAAAAGTATTCATTGTTTAAAAATGTAAATAAATTTTTACTGTCCTTAAAACCATTATTATACTTAAAATATTGTTAAACAGACATTTTTGGTAGCTATTAAAATATATTTCTACTACAGTATATACCATTCACTATGTCTGCTCTGAGAACACTGATATTTGTTTTCAATTGGTTTTCCTTTAAAGAAAATATTCTGCATGGGCATTTTACATTAGTAGAAACCGTTAAGTTGTATGAACGAGATTAATTCCTGCTATATAATTATGTAATTGACTATTATACAATAAGTAAAAGTATAAAGTGATTAGAAAGTTAGAGAATGATGTATCAAAAATGAATTCCAGGCCAGGCACGACGGCTCACACTTGTAATCCCGCCTCTTTAGGAGGTTAGGCAGATCACCTGGGGTCAGGATTTGAGCCCAGCCTGGCCAACATGGTGAAACGCTGTCTCTACTAAAAATACAAGAGTTAGCCAGGTGTGGTGGCAGGTGCCTGTAATCCCAGCTACTTGGGAAGCTTGAACCCGGGAGGCAGAAGTTGCAGTGAGCCAAGATTGCACCATTGCACTCTAGCCTGGGTGACAGAACAAGACTCTGTCTCAAATAAATAAATAAATAAATAAATTCCTAATATCAATAAATAAAATTTGGTTGCTTATGAAGAAATGCAAATTACTTAAGTTTTCACTCAAATACTGTATTTCTTGTGTCATTAAAACTTTGGAATATGAAACTTTTGGATAATTACAGAAAACACAAAGAAAGCAAAAACATGAACAACAACAAGAGTGAAATTTATTTTATTTTTGACACAGTCTCGCCCTATCACCCAGGCTGGAGTGCAGTGGCATGATCTCGGCTCACTGCAACCTTCGCCGTAAACTATGGTCTTTGGGAGATAATGACATGTCAGGGTAGGCTTATAGATTGTAGCAAATGTACCACCTTGATGCAAGATGTTGACAGTGAGGGAGGCTGTGAGTGTGTAGGGGCAGCAGGCATATGGGAATTCTCTGTACTTCCCACTTAACTTTGCTGTGAACCCAAACCTGCTCTGAAAAAATAAAGTCTCTTAAAAAAAAAACAAAACACGCACATATCCACAGGGAAAGTCTGCTGTAACTGCCTTTAAAATAATAAAGTAGTACTAATGTTCAACAGTAATGGTGAAGAAATATAGTTAAAATAATTAGAAAAGTAGTAAAAAATAAAACAAGTCTTTTTAATATTTGAGAACTTTACAGATTTTTTAAATTACATATTTCTCACTTATCTAATTACAAAGAAGAGAAACATCTGAAGAAACTAGTGCAGGAAAAAAGAGCTCATGTTAGAGATCTAGATTTACCACCCTGTATTGCCACTTAAAAGTTACTTGAGCTTGGGCAAACTGATTCACCTCTCCAGCGTCTGGTTCCTCATCTATAACACACAAAACATCTGCAGTGTGCCTATCACAGTGCCAAGCTTACAGTAGGCATTCAGCAGATTGGCAGAATCTTATTAGACAAGATAGAGGATAGATCAATTATAGGTCTGGAACATTTAGAGATTCTATATATCACTATTTTACATGAGACTAAATGAGATGCCAAAAAATTAATTTCAAATTTAGTACCCACTTATTATATAACAAATATATTATGTGCAGGTACAACGTGAATTCAAAGAGGAACTAGAAATGGACCTAGTCAAGGAGCACTTAGCTATCATGCAGCACTTTACTGTCAGAGGAAGAACCTGTTAATAAAAAATTCAAAAATAGAAAAGGAAAGACTTTACCTTTTCTTTTGCCAAACCACTTTCTGGAAAGAAAACAGAAAGTGAATATTCATAGCCACATCTTTGTAAGTGATCTGCCACTAAAGAGTTAGAGGCGCCTATTAAGAGGGAGCTCCCTTCTACTGAAATGGACCGAGGTTGCAGTTCTCCACTCAATACAGGGTGCATCAACTCATGAATTAGCTGGTTTCGAAGTTGTGTCTAGTGCAAAATAAAAACAAAAATAAAAAAGAAACAAACACAAGGGAAAGAAATTTCAGCAGGATTGTTTCATTAGAGATATACACAGATGTGTTACATTCATTGGAAACCTTCCTTCTATTTCCATAATGGTTCTAGATCCATGGCCAGAAGTTAGGAACCTTTCCCTGCACACTTTGTCTTACCCCGTGAGACAAGCAGTCCAGTGGGTTCTAGAAAAAGCTTTCTTTCCCCAGCTTCCAAATGAAACGGGTGGTTAGCCAGATCCGCTTGCAGACTCATAACTTCACTTCCCTAGAAGCCCATTTCAGCAGCTTACGATTGGGATATTAAGTATAGGAAAAATTTCTGCCACTTCATCACACCTCTGTGGACTGTTGGAGAATATAACCAAAATATTCAACAACAGGGGACTGCTATATACATTACAAAAATATCCAAAGATAAGCCTGTCGCCACTGAAAATGACGATTTCAAAAAACTTTTAAGGAAACAGGGAAATGCTCACCATATAATTTAAATTAAAAAAGGATACATATACAGGATATATCTACGTATTTTAAACGTAAAATATGCTTTTGAAATGCATATTGCAATGAAAACACGCTGAGCTAATCCTACTCCTGGCTGTTAATCCAAATATAAAGTATACTAATAGATATTCGCTGCCCAAATTAAATATTCATACATTTCAATATAGTTTAAAGATGAAATTTTTCATTTCCCAAACTATTATTAAGCAGTACACTAGTATTTTCTATATGGTGTCAATGTCCTTCATCCAACTGTTTTACAAATCCACTTACTAGTTTAGGAACCTATAAGCCATATTTATAAAACAAGCCTAATCTTACTGTGTTCATCATATAAATATTTCCTCCTATCTTACTGTCAAATTCAATTAATTATTTGAATATGCTCCTTTAAGACTACTCAAACTCAACATTTTCTCAAACGTTTTCAAGAGACTGTAATGTTTCAGGATAGAGAGTTATTCGGGAATATAAAAATGTAATTGACCATTACAATCTATGTATCATACGATTATTAAAACCTAAACCTTGACTGAATTTTAACTACCTGTTACAGGTTACACTTGTAAAAGTTATGACACAGATACGCCTAAATCCGATACCTTGAGTGTGTCCAGTATACCCCGATCCTTAAACGTCTGGTATAGCTTTTTGCGCAGCTCATCTTGACTCAACACATCAGCCACGGGGAGCATGTTGGACTAGAAGACAAAATGGTTACAGGTTACCTGCGGGGCAGAGGCGTGAACGTCTGAAAACAGACCAGCGGCCTCCGGGGAAGCCATAAGAGGCCTAGCGGGGAAAGGAGTTTTAACGAACACAAACAAGACTTCATTTCCGCCTGTCCCCGAGAAGGGGCAGGTGTGTCTACCTGAGCCATCATCAGGCATCAGCTTCCTCCGAAGCTCGCCTCGCTCGCCCCGCCGCGGCCCGAGTTTAGTGCCCAGACTGGGCTGTGGGGCCAAGACGAAGGGGAATCCCTGCCCTCAGAGCCCTGCCTCTGTCCCGGGGGTTCGGGAGGAACAAGGGTGCTGAACGTTCTCTGCCTCGCACTCCCAACTAGGTTTTCTAGCAAACACGCGAGCTTCCTTTCTTCACGGTTCTGAAGCATGGGTGAGGACCCAGGCACGACTCAAAGGCGGCTGGAGGGCGGGGGCCCAGAGACTAGGGACTGAAGGCGGCAAGGCTTGACCGCTTCACAGCCCATCCCGCAACTTCCGGAGACCTGCTAAGTACAGCCTTCCCTCGCTAAAGAGCTATGGCGCATGCGCTCGGTTGCCCAGCAACGGCCGGAAGCTCCACCTACGTATCGCGAGAGCACATCCCAGGGTATCGCGAGAGCACATCCCAGGGTATCGCGAGAACTGCTTAGGCGTTCTGCCTGTGGATGCGGAGCCGGGGTGTCTTCCGCGGAAACTGACGCTGCGTTTCCGTTGTCGGCCTCCGGCTGCAGGTAGGGAATGGAGCGAGTAGGGGGTGGGTGTTTTGAGTCCCTGGAGGACTTCCTAGCCCCTGCGTGACGCGGATGTTGGTCCTGTACCTCCACCTCTCCCCGGGGTGGCCGGGCCGGACCTGCCAGCCCTTCGCCAGCTCATCCGCGCGGCCCTTCCACCTGCAAACGTCCGCTCTCTCGGGGGCTGTGGTTTCGCGGTTCACGGGGTCATTCAGCTAACCCAGGGTTTCTTAACGGCGGCACTGTTGCCTTTTGGAGCCGGAAGATTCTTTGTTTTGGGAGGCTGCCCTGTGCATTATAGGTTTAGCTGTATCCTTGCTCTCTATTTTGTCAGTATCACCTTCTCCCCCAAGTGTGACAACCAAAGATGTCTCCAGATATTGCCAGATGTCCTCTTGGAAGCAAGATCGCTCCGGGTTGAGATCCACAGAGCTAAACGTTTTAGAGTACCAACCATTGTGTGCTGTGAGGTAAAGGTGAGCCAGTCCTCATGATGCTTAAATGTAATTAGAAAGAAAAAGAACCAAACCTCTCGGAAGCAATAATGAAAATGTTACGCCCAGAGAATTGAACAAGAACTAAGATGCATTGTAGACTGGATAAAGAGTTTAAATGGTAGGTGGTTGAAGATGGAAGTGATCCAGATCATCTCTGTGGAAAAAGAGTGACTTTATCAGGGCCTTGATGGGTAGGATTCGGGTGGTAAGCAAAAAGGAGAACATCACAGGAAGGGGAAAAATGAGCAAAGGAATCATTAAAAGAAAACAAAAAAGCCACGATCTTCTTGGGGGCAGTGAGGAATCTAGCCTGATTCCAGAGTTGTGTGCTGGGAATATAAGCCTTATACGGTATCTAAGTCCTGTGAGGACAAAATTGGATGTCAGCTTTGTGTACAGCATTGAAGATGAGTACAATGAGTTTTGATCTCTGGCTGTGAAAAACTTAAAGTATTTAAGAGGCAGTAAGAGTGACAGGACTTCATAGGAGGTGGAGAACCTGTAGGTTTTTGTTGGAAACAATTGAAGAGGAGGAGAGGCTTAGTTGGATTTAAAAGGATGGGTAGTAGTTGCAGGCAGAATCAAGGAGAACATTCCAGGCATGAAGAGAGAAATAATAGCAGCTCTGAACTGGATACAGTCAAAGTGAATTTGGGAGAAAAAATAAGTAAACAAGTCAACGCTAGCAGAGGTGAAACAACAGGGCTGAGAAAAGACATGTGGAGCAATGTGGGACTGTTTTGAGTACTAGTACATGATCCTGCAGCTGAGATGCATCAAGGCTTTTGAGTGGAATGATGAAAATAGTGTTCTAAAAAGATGTTGATATGTTGTAAATGTTAAGTAGAATCGCTTGTCCACTGGTTTAAAAAAAAAATGTTCCTGAAGACCTCCTCACTTCCACCCCCACCTTTGGTCCCACAGTTAAATACATGAATATAATTAGATAAAATGTTCTCGAAAACCTAGCATAACTTCTAAGGGGTGAGAGAATTGCTTATAATACTAATAGGAAAATGTCACATTAGAGACCTATCAGTAGTATTCCTACTGCCCCTCCTCATGGCAATAGACATATCCCATGCCACACCAGTTTAGTCTCATGACCCCAGGTCTGTGGAACAACTGAAACCACTGCTGTCGGGAGCACAGGGCAGTTTTTCTAGCAGCTCTTCTATAGAGGCTGTAAAGAGGCTTGCTACAAAAATGGATGTCTTTGGAACTGGAGTCCATGAGTTTTATGTTGCATTTGCCTGCAACTTAAAATGAGAAGGGACTTCCAAGTTCATTGAGCATCTTGCCACTCTGGCACTGGTGCTGTGCCAGCCACCCCTTAGTTTCTAGTTTCCCAGTGACTTCAAATGAGCAGTCCTGGGCTTGGCCTATGGAACTGTTTGAAATAAGTCTGTGTAGTCCAGGGTCAGCAAATACTTGGCCCTCCTGTAGGCACTGCACTTCCCCAAATTCATAGCAGACATGGATAATTGATCACAGCATTCTTTCCTGCTGACCACACTTAGGCTCAGAATCTTTCTCAGCACCAGTTCCTGGCAGTCACTACCAGTTGATTAGAATTCGCTCATGAAAGGAAACTCATTTGCCATCCCTAGCCAAGTCGCTTTTTCATTAGATAGCTTACTGTATTTAAAGATAGTACTGTGCTGTACCCCGCTCCCTTTCCACCCCAAAAAGTCTCCCCCGCCCCGTTTAAACATCCTCTTTCCTTCAGTTGCTCTTGTCTGGTTTCCAGAGCGTTTCCTAGCCTAGATCCTGCCCTCCCCTCCCCTGTAACACAGAGAGTTATTGATCCTTTTACAATATGATTCCCAGAACTGAGTACCTTCCCCAAAGATGATAATATTATTGAAGAGGACATCAGCATTCTCCCCGACCTTGCTCTTAATACCACCTAGAATTGCATTAGCTTTTTTGACAAACCTGTCAGACTTTTTGCCTCTTACTGAGCTTGCAGAACTTTTGGGTTGATATAGATGAACTGTTCTTAATCTAGATTTCCCTTGTCCTTTTGTACAGTTAATTTTTAAGCCCAAGTACAAGGCTTTCTTTCTTATCCTCTTAATTTCTATCTTGTTAATTTCACCTAGCTCTCCTAGCCATGGAGATCTTTTTAAATCCTAACTTCTGCCTTCTAATAAGTTAGCTGCCCTTGGTGTTATCTTTGAATGTGATAAGTTATCTTCATTCAAGATATTGATTCAAATACTGAGCTAAACTAGGTTAAGGTCAACCTCAAAGCCTTCCTAGAGACCCTGTGCCATAAATTGACATGGAGCACCCAATGAACGTTCTCCGAGTATTGACACTCAAGTCAGCTGTGAGCCGTCTCTCATTCAGCAAATAATGAGTGTTTTTTGGGTCCCTGGCACTGTGTACCTCTAGGGATACCACAGTGAACAAGACAAATGGTGTATTTGCTCTCATGGAGGGCAACATTCTAGCAAGACTCTGTATTTTCACCCAGGCTCCAGGACTCCAGTTTGTTCTTAGATACCAAAATATTTCATAAAATGACTTTCTGTCTACCTACCGTATCTCCCTTCAGAAACAAAAAATGTAAGTTTGGCATGACTTGTTCTAGTACAACCAGGAGTATATGAATGAATAATAATCTGTTTTTATCTAGGGATTCACATTAAATGAGTTAATGTATAATAAAAGTGCCTGGCATGGCATCTGACTGAAAATAAGCATTTAATACATGTTTCTGTTGGTGTTCTAGTCGCTCTGAATGTACCCTGTTATAGACTAGGAGATAAGCCTTTTTCCTGTTTCTGAAAATAGGAATAGCATTTAACCTAGCGGATGATATGGCATTTTTCTTGCAATTTCTCAAATGTCATTGATCAGAAGTTACGCAATCACATTTGTTAACCCAAGGTATATAATTTGTCAGGACCTGACAACTTGGATTTATTGAAATAGCTAGATGTTTTCTTTTCTTTTCTTTTCTTTTAAATTATACTTTAAGTTCTAGAGTACATGTGCACAACATGCAGGTTTGATACATAGGTATACATGTGCCATGTTGGTTTGCTGCACCCATCAACTTGTCATTTACATTAGGTATTTCTCCTAATGCTATCCCTCCCCCAGCCCCCTACCCCTCAAGAGGCCCCGGTGCGTGATGTTCCCTGCCCTGTGTCCAAGTGATCTCATTGTTCAGTTCCCACCTATGAGTGAGAATGTGCAGTGTTTGATTTTCTGTCCTTGTGATAGTTTCCTGAGAATGATGGTTTCCAGCTTCATCAATGTCCCTGCAAAGGACGTGAACTCATCCTTTTTTATGGCTGCATAGTATTCCATGGTGTATATGTGCCACATTTTCTTAATCCAGTCCGTCTCAAAAAAAAAAAAAAAAAACGCAATGTTATTACTGTTGATTTGGGGTGGGAGAGTTCTAAGATGTCTATTAGGTCGGCTTTGTGCAAGCTGAGTTCAAGTCGGATATCCTGTATGAACCTTCTGTTCTGTTGGATCTGTTGATATTGACATATGGGTGTTAAAAGTCTCCTTATTTTGTGTGGGAGTCTAAGTCTCTTTGTACGTCTCTTAAGGACTTGCTTTAATGGATCTGGGTGCTTTCTGTATTGGGTGATTGAGGGTATTTATTAGATAGTTAGCTCTTCTTGTTGAATTGATCCCTTTACCATTAATGTAATGGGGGCGCCTTTGTCTCTTTGATCTTTGTTTTGGTTTACAACACAGAGACTGGTTTTATCATGGAGACTAGGATTCGCAACCCCTGCTTGTTTTGATGCTTTTTCCATTTTGCTGGTAGATCTTCCTCCATCCCTTATTTTGAGCTGTTATGTGTCTGCACGTCAGATGGGTTTCCTGAATACCAGCACACTGATGGGTCTCTTGATTCTTTTTATCCAGGATTTTGGCAGTCTGTTGTCTTTTAATGACGGTTATTTAGCCCATTTAGCCATTTAAGGTTCAATCATTGTTATGTGTGTAATTGATCCTGTCATACATGATGGTTCATGGTTATTTGCCATGTTAATTGATGCAGTTTCTTCATAGACATCTGATGGTACTTTCACAATTGTCCGCCTGTTTTTGCAGGGCTGGTACGAGTCCCTGATTTCCTTTCCATGTTAGTGCTTCACTTCAGGAAGCCTTGTACAAGCGCCCGGCCCTGCGCTGGTGATAAAATCTCTCCAGCATTTCCTCTGTCTGTAAAGGATTCTTATCTTCTCCTTCCACTTATGAATTAGTTTCACTGGATATGAATTCTGGGTTGAAAATCTTTCTTCTTTAAGAATGTTTGGAATATTGGCCCCCCACTTCTGCTTCG